TGACTGGGTGCGCTGTTCAACTGTTTTAAGTTTGATTTTAGGCGGCTTTCTTTTGTCTCTTGTGAGACGGAAAAATGAATTTTTTGTGGGGCATTACCGCAGAGTACGACTTACCGGTGTCCACATTCTACAAAAGTACTTAAATGTGCTTTGTGCGGTGGTTAATTGTAATTGGTACTTGTGTAGGTGATGGTTACACGTGGTAGTTTTATTACAACTGAGTTGGTTCTTAGATTTATTTTAATAAATCCAAATATTTGAATTGTTTTGAAGTAAGAAAAAAGCTTGTTTTTTTTAAAGAAATGTTGTGTGGTTTTTAACAGCCATAAGATTCTTTTATTTCCATGAAATATATAAGGTTCAGATAAGTAGTTCCCAATAGACCAAGGGAAGCAATGGGAAAGGTATAAGATCTAAGGGAAAACTAGAAAAATTAGATGGAAGGGTTTTAATGCTGCTTGCGAGGTTAACATGGTCAGCCTCAAGTGAATTAATTTGTGCTTAGCAAAAAAAATTTAAACTAGATGATTCTTGTGGATAATGCCCTGAAAAGAATGACAGGCGTTTAAACTTCTATAGATGCTGAACTTGAAAAATAGTGGTTGATTAGACACAAGCACAGATGAAAATGAGAGATGGAGGACGAGTCGATAGATGGACAACAGTAGGTTTTTTATTTCAGAAACTTGGGGGTGGAGATGGCAACAGTTTAGAAAAAGGATTGGAAGTTCTTGTTTGGGTGAATGTGGAGGAGGGCTTTTTTCCATCGTGTCATATGTTTGTCTTTGGTAATAGAGGAGACTACCAGAGGATTTCCGCCTCCTGTTTGTGAAATTTTTTCCGAGATAAAGTTGTCTAGATTCTACAGTTGATTTTGATCAAGTGACTACGATGTTTTTCCTGACTCTTGAAACCTTTTTCTTTGCCGCACTGTTCGCGTAATTTCTTACTTACTGAGCTTTCGCTTGAAAGTTTGGTTTCCTTTGCTGTTACATATTTACTAGTTGATATGCGTGTTTTAGGTGATACTCTCTAGTGGACAAGAGATATTGCATTTTCAAGATCCGGATTTTTTTGTATTGATTGGAGCTAGTAGAACTTTTGGTTTTGCTACGTCTGTGTTATTTCTAAGGATGGTGCTTAATTGGGTGTTCGAAGGTTGATATTGAGATTCAACGTTTCAAGAACTGGTAAGCTTTCTGTTTTTCACGAGCTTCTGTTTAACTCTTTGTGATATGCTTCAAAATTTTAGCCCTTTTGATGATACGTAGCTTTTTAAGTTGTACATTTCCTTAATACTGCTTTTTTATCGTCTTCTAAGTGGTGGCGAAGTAAAGTTTAAGCCTACAAGATAGCTTCATGTTTCAATTCCTCGTTGCTTACTCTGGATTAACAGTCCCAGCACACGTATATGTAATACTTATTTAGTTTTTGCTTGTAAAGTTCCTCGTTTAAATTGACATACAATTGTAATTTTGAGGAGGAAAAAAAGAGTTCAATTGATACAAATGAATTTTTTTACTGTAGTAACTGAATCTCATCCGTTAAGCTGCTCAGACTTTGCTTCTAAATAGGCTACAATCTCCTCTTTACCCTCTTTTTTGGTTTCAATGCAAACTTCTTTTAGTTGATGACTACGCCCTATCTGATTGTGGTTTGGCATCATTCACAAATGGTCCTTCTTCCCAATAATTACTTGTTTGGCTTGTAGCACGATTATAAAACTCATGTTTCAGAGCCAAAATTATAGATTGGATATTTGCATCAGGGACCATCTGAGGTACCGTGTTTTTTAAACACATTTCCGGTGAAATATTTTCTTTTGGTGATGAATTTAATTTTGCGTAGTGTTTACAAGTTCTGTCCGATTTGTGAATACTCCAAATCATAAAAAGTGACTGCTTGATCCTATGAGTTACCTCCGAGTTCTTATGTGTTGTTAGTGACTGCTTCATTTACGTAGCTGATATGAAGTTGTTTCATTCCCTGGCGAATAGGGTATTTTTTGATTGGCTTCATTTATTAGAACTGAAGAAGACTGTGGGACAGAAGACGATTGGACTTATTCATACCATTTTTACTTCTCACGATTAATTTTGAGCTCTGAGCAGTCCCGTCAAGGTAGATTACTAGTTTTTGCCATATAAACTACCGTCCACACTAGTACTTGTTATCAGTGAGTTACTTCGAAGCATATTACAGAAGTTTTAATTTTGAAAAATATGGAGAACTACTTGCAACAATAAATTTATTATGTATGAAATAATTAAACAGAAAAGTAGCCGGATCGAACACTGTTTGATAATATAAGCTTATAACCAACAGAAAAATACTTCAAATATTTCTTTGAAAAATTTTTAAAAATTTTTTAATTTTGCTGCTTTATGTAACGAAAAAACGTATTTATTCAGTTGGAGTGTAAATGTGTAGACTGCAGCCACACTACAAGACGGCTAGTCTAGACAAGAAGGATAATTACAGTCGTGTTTATATTCTTGAAATTTTAGCTTAAAACGTAGGTCTGCGTTCAAGAACTGTCAGGACTACCAACAAGATTTCTGAAATCATTGAAATTTTTTTGATAGCGTTTTTTCTGCCCGTCTCTATAGAAAATCTTAATCTTTTATTATCTACTGTTGTGAGAAGAAATCGATCGCTTCCTCTTTTGCAAAACGCTACTAATTGCGAGGGTCGTTTTACTGTAATCCGACTCTGCCCGACACTTCTCCTGAACAAAGACCTTCAAGCCGACGACTTTTAACCAGAATTCTTAACTCAAACCAATTTAACAACAGCCTCTGACGACCAAGTCCACAGTCTGATTTATGACAGCAACGCTTGACTCAAGTTTATCTGGAGCTTAGCCACCTCTGTACAACTACTATTTGATTTCTTAGCTTTTTTATTAAAGAAAGCAAACTATTACAACACCAAACAAAAATGCAAACTTTTGATAAAAAAATGCAAGAAAAATTAGGCTTGAAACATGTAACGGTACATCAAATCAAATAAACCTAAACCTAAAGTTTTGAAACCTACAATTGCCAGCTGGCACGTCTAATAATAGGCAGCGAACATTAAAATCCAGAAAAGGGAATCCTTGATGACATCAAACGTGCTTAACAGGCATCACATTCAGAGCCGTAAACCGCGGGTATTGATCATAATAATGAAAAAGCAATGAATTCAACAAGTTAAAATTCGGCTTTTTTCAGGCCTCAGGAGAAATAACCTTTTGGCCGGTCTCCAAAAGTGTTCCTATGGCGGGTGTTTGTACCGCAGGAACTTTTTCGCACGTATTCACAACAGATATGTTGTTGGAAAATATTTTGTAAAATAATTACGTTGTTAATAAACACTGTAGATTTTACTTTTTTAAAATATTTCTTCCTTTTTATGTTTACTAAAGTTAAAGAACTGTTTCATTAGAGCAGTTAAACAGATAAACTGACAACTAGTCAACTGTCTAGACTGAACTGCAAATGACAGTAATATTTACAGCACTATACCTGTAAATCAACTTTTTTCAAAAAGTTTTAGACTTGAATATTATGTTGTTG